AAGGTCTATTATCTTACTTTCTGGAGAGAACTATTATTCTAAGAAGGTCGATTATCTTACTTTCCGGAGAGAACTATTGTTCTAAAAAGGTCGATTATCTTACTTTCCGGAGAGAACTGTTGTTCTAAGAAGGTCGATTATTTTACTTTCCGGAGAGAACTATTGTTCGTTTTTTTTTTGCTTACTTCATGGTAGTAAATTTGATGACAAGAAACCTAATTCTTTGAAAATATAAGTTGGAAACGGTTTGACTAGGTAACGTCGTACATTTTCAATAATGTTTTCTCCATTACCCATTCAAACTTGTATAATTCATTGTAGTAATTTAGCTGTTTATAAATATATTACCTCTTCCCTAAGTCTTCCCATCGTTGCGTATTTATGCTGCGTGTTTTCTACAATTGTAAAGAGTCGAGTACATGTATGTTTCGGTTTCATGTATGGAATCAAGTAGCAAAAGTATAGCTAAAAACTAACAATTATGAAGAAACAAAAATATAATAAATTAAAAACTAAATGGATACCTGAATAGTACAATAAACAGCCAGAATATTATTTCTGAAATAAAACTATAACTTATAAGAATATAATATATAATGTTAAATGTAATACTAATAAAACACATGCTATTCCCACTTTACCTGTATAATATATAATGTTAAATGTAATACTAATAAAACACATGCTATTCCCACTTTACCTATATAATATATAATGTTAAATGTAATAATAATAAAACACATGCTATTCCCATCTTACCTACATTATGTCACATTAAAGTAAGATCTGTAAAAGTGAATAAACCCAGAGAATATTATGTAACAGCAATAAGACTTAGAATGGAAAGCTACAACAGTTGTGAATATGTCAAGGAAAGTAATTGAAAAAAATACGTACATTAACTAATGACGTATTTTCATACTATGTGCGGAACTGTTATAGGGCTATCTATATAGCCATCTCTAAGTTAGCACTGAAAAAACTAGAGGGAAGGCAGCTAGTCATCACCACCCACCGCCAACTCTTGGGCTACTCCGTTACCAGTCACATTATTACCGCCACGGCTGAAAGGGCGAACATGTTTAGTGGGACGGAGATTTAAGCCCACCACCATCAGAGTACAAGTCAAGCGCCCTAACTACCTGGCCATGCCGGGCCTTAGTGTTTGGATTGTGTAAGTTTTGGTATTTTATAACCAAACTTGCTACTTTTGGTATACAGAGTGAAAGACGAACGTTTGAGGGACTAGTGTTTGGATTTTGTTGGTTTTGGTATTTTATAACCAAACTTACTACTTTTAGTATACAGAGTGGAAGACGAACGTTTGAGGGACTAGTGTTTGGACTGTGTTGGTTTTGGTATTTTATAACCAAACTTGCTACTTTTAGTATACAGAGTGGAAGACGAACGTTTGAGGAACTGGTGTTTGGACTGTGTTGGTTTTGGTATTTTATAACCAAATCTACTACTTTTAGTATACAGAGTGAAAGACGAACGTTTGAGGGACTAGTGTTTGGATTGTGTTGGTTTTGGTATTATATAACCAAATCTACTACTTTTAGTATACAGAGTGGAAGACGAACGTTTGGGGGACTAGTGTTTGGATTGTGTTGGTTTTGGTATTTTATAACCAAATCTACTACTTTTAGTATACAGAGTGAAAGACGAACGTTTGTGGGACTAGTGTTTGGATTGTGTTGGTTTTGGTATTTTATAACCAAATCTACTACTTTTATCGGATTTATTTGATTCTGTATATGGTTTTTTATGATATTTTAAATCCTAATTTTAAAGTGTTAATTTTTTTGGGGGGGGTGGCCCTGTGGCAGAGCTATGTATTTTGGTTCTGGCGAAGAGGGTTCGAATTCGTTCAACACCACAGAACTTTCCCCGCGCTTTAAGTTGTGGGTAGTTGTTAGAGTAACAGTCAATCCCCTGGTAGTGATGGTGGGTGGAAGGGCTATGTGGCTGGTTTACTTTTAGATTCAAATTAGGTATGGCAGCAGATAATATTAGTAGCTTTGGTATAAATACAAAACATATTTTTTCTGTGTAAAATATTAGTTTAAATAACATATTTTCTCCGAGCGTCTAATTCTGACTTTCAAAATGCAATTTCCCGAGTACATTTTTCATACTTTCCTGGCTGGGATCCCATTAGGCCTAAGAATTCTTTAAATGAATCTCTGATATCCTAATTATCAGCTCTTTAATAACTGGAACATCCCCAATAGAAATATTTACAAACGTTATAAAAGAATTTCTACGTAATATTTAGTATTAAAAGATTCAATTCATATAAATATTTGATAACTTACCTTTAGAGAACCCCACCACTGATAAAATGAAACAGAGCAAGTGTGTTTTCATTGTTATGACTGATGTCTTTCTCCAACTAAACGTGTTAAGTATCAGTTTCTTCCAGGTATATCAGTTTTAATATAGCAGGTGCTGACTTCCCATGGTAGTTTACACCTGGTTATCACACTTGTGCAATGTGTATTACATTTAAAATAATATATTCAATAGTACAGCGAGAACTTTGTAGCTAGAAAGAAAGAAAACTAAAATTTTACAGTTGATATTATGTTGCTATTTGAATATTTTACTCCGGTCTCTCTAAATTAATATTAAATAGTTCTTTGAAAGCAAGAAATTTGTAGAGTAAAAAAACATGATGAACAATTCTTACAGTGATCATATTGACATTACGTAATAATCGTTGCCCCCCCCCCATGTGTCTCAGCAGCTTGTCCGAAGGCTTATAATGCTGAAAAGTCCTTCAGCCGTCTGTATTATTTTATTTGAATGAATTCATCACTGCGTTTATTATTTAGTATTATATTATTTTCTCTTCCTTAAGCTGTCTCTATTATTTTATTTGAATTACTTCAACCGGAGGGGGGGGGTTCATTCAGTATTATATTATTTTATCTTCCTTAAGCTGTCTCTATTATTTTATTTGAATTACTTCAACCGGGGGGTTTTCATTCAGTATTATATTATTTTCTCTTCCTTAAGCTGTCTATATTACTTTATTTGAATGAATTCATCACTGCGTTTATTATTTAGCATTATATTATTTTCTCTTTCTTAAGCTGTCTCTATTATCTTATTTGAATTACTTCAACAGTGGGTTTTTCATTCAGTACTATATTATCTTCTCTTCCTTAAGCTGTCTCTATTATTTTATTTGAATTACTTCAGCAGTGGGTTTTTCATTCAGTACTATATTATATTCTCTTCCTTAAGCTGTCTATATTACTTTATTTGAATGAATTCATCACTGCGTTTATTATTTAGCATTATATTATTTTCTCTTCCTTAAGCTGTCTCTATTATTTCATTTGAATTACTTCAACAGTGGGTTTTTCATTCAGTACTATATTATCTTCTCTTCCTTAAGCTGTCTATATTACTTTATTTGAATGAATTCATCACTGGGTTTATCATTCAGTTATGCTGAAAATGAGAACTCGGATAATTATATAAAACTAAAGAAAACAGGAATATATTTCAACAGTACAGTTTAAAACAATAATCTTCAGTAGATATTTCAAAAATATCGTTTACAACAATACGTTATCTATATATAAAACTCAAAATCTCTCGGTTTGTTTGTTTGCTTGCTTGTTTGTCCACCACGTTCACCGCTTAGGTTACACTTCCCTCACGTGAGAGTGCGCAAAACGACAATTTTTCGCTGATATACGCGTCTATCGTCTGCTAGCCAAACCAGTAATTTTATCGTTAACATGTTTTACATTGTTGTGATTCTACGCAGACTTGAAAATTTTTTTGGTAAGTTTGAGTTAACATTTAATTTAGAATATTGCATTAGAATAGATAGGCCTATTTAGTTATAGATTATTAATTATATATCTACTGGTACATCATATATTTAACCTCACACAAAAAAGAAACGCTGTGTGTGAAAAAGCAAACAGCAGGCTCAGCCTATAAAATAATAATATTACTGCGAACAACAAAGGGGAACATGTTTTTATCCCATGTATCCCGTTAATTCCAGCTGATCTCCCCTTCGAGTTCAAACGCCTGTAGTTCCTAGTAAAATCAAGCACGGGGCCAGTCTCTGAAAGTAATGGGACTTGAATTGAATAAATCTACGTTAGCTGCTAAAGAGTGGGGAACAATAAGGGCCTATTTATCCTTGCCAGTGAAGGAAAGACAAGCAGCATCGTTCATAAGGAAGCTCTGATTTAAAACAAGTTCATAGTTTATTTTCAAAAATCAAAACTAAGGTTGTTGTTGTTGTTTTCATAAACTCACAAAATATTTTTTACCTATCCAAATATGGAAGGGAGAAACAGAGAGAGTAGTTTTGTTTTTCGAAAACCGGACAACGCCTGGTAACCCCGCTAGTTTCTACATAAGTAGAAAATTGCGAAGGTGATAAAATAAAGAAATGAGACTTTTAGAAAAAATCTCTTTCAAAACTATGATAGTAATTTATTTACTTGGCGACGTTTCGAGGAAACGCTCTTTTTCGAGCCAGAAATAAACCCGTTTTAATTGTCATTAAATGACAAACTTGTTTCTGACTTGAAAACGAGCGTTTGCTCAAGTAAATAAATTACTACCATATTTTTTAAAGGTTTTTTTTTCTCTAAAAGTCTAATTTCTTTATATCTACATGTTTCTATCTGAGATTCTTAACATTGAATGCAAAACGATTGATAGGTCAATACATACAAATCACCAAATGGTGTGGACACTTCACTTTTATTGGATATTTAGTCTGACGTTATGACGAACTTTTACTAACAAGAGAGGAGACTAATAGAATTCAAAGTTCAATATGGCAGATATTTTTATCAAAACAAAAGTTGGTCAAGTCAATTATGATACACTGGCACTATTTATGATTATAGATTATACATTCATGATGTTAGAAAAATACGTAGGTTCAAGAAGTCTTGACAGAAATGAATAAAAAACCTATAACCCGAGCGCTTTCGAAACTGTTTGCCCCTGAAGATTCTTCCTTTCGAAGGTTCACCTTTCGAAAGCGCTCGGGTTATAGGGTTTTTATTTGTTTCTATAGATTATACATAATATTGTAACTAAATTGTTCAAACTCTGCGTGATCATATATTTTGTACATAAATTTAATGTTCATATAGTGTTTGTATAGACGAAGGATGATGAGTGGGAGGACGTCAGACAAGAGACAGGCAATAGGGGAAGGGGGTAGAAACAATGATGTCATATGCATCAGAGATGATAACATCATAGTTCCATGTAGTGAAGCCATAAAGAGCGTTGCTAGGCCACCATGATTGGAAATAAATTGTTTAAAACTCTACATAAACTTAATGTTCAGATGGTGTTTGTATAGGCTCATCGTA